ATATGTCCTGCCAGTCCCTTCTGGTTTGCAGAGTTTCTGCTGAAAGATCAGCTGTTAACCTTTTTGGGATTTCCTTGTGTGTTATTTGTTGTTTTTCCCTTGCTGCTTTTAATATGTTTTCTTTGTATTTATTTTTGACAGTTTGATTAACATGTGTCTTGGTGTATTTCTCCTTGGATTTATCCTGTATGGGACTCTCTGTGCTTCCTGGACTTGATTAACTATTTCCTTTCCCATATCAGGGAAGTTTTCAACTATAATCTCTTCAAATATCTTCTCAGTCCTTTTCTTCTTCTCTTCTTCTCCTGGAACCCCTATAATTCGAATATTGGTGCGTTTAATGTTGTCCCAGAAGTCTCTGAGACTGTCCTCAGTTCTTTTCATTCTTTTTTCTTTATTCTGCTCTGCAGTAGCTATTTCCACTATTTTATCTTCCAGGTCACTTATCCATTCTTCTGCCTCAGTTATTCTGCTACTGATCCCATCTAGAGTATTTTTAATTTCATTTATTGTGTTGTTCATCATTGTTTGTTTCATCTTTAGTTCTTCTAGGTCCTTGTTAAATGTTTCTTGCATTTTGTCCATTCTTTTTCCAAGATTTTGGATCATCTTTACTATCATTATTCTGAATTCTTTTTCAGGTAGACTGCCTATTTCCTCTTCATTTGTTAGGTCTGCTATGTTTTTTTCTTGCTCCTTCATCTGCTGTGTGTTTTTCTGTCTTCTCAGTTTGCTTATCTTACTGTGTTTGGGGTCTCCTTTTTGCAGGCTGCAGGTTCGTAGTTCCCGTTGTTTTTGTTGTCTTTCCCCAGTGGCTAAGGGTGGTTCAGTGGGTTGTGTAGGCTTCCTGGTGGAGGGGACTAGTGCCTGTGTTCTGGTGGATGAGGCTTGATCTTGTGTTTCTGGTGGGCAGGTGCACGTCTGGTGGTGTGTTTTGGTGTGTCTGTGGACTTATTATGACTTTAGGCAGCCTCTCTGCTAATGGGTGGGGTTGTGTTCCTGTCTTGCTAGTTGTTTGGCATAGGATGTCCAGCACTGTAGCTTGCTGGTCGTTGAGTGAAGCTGGGAGCTGGTGTTGGGATGGAGATCTCTGGGAGATTTTCCCTGTTTGATATTATGTGGAGCTGGGAGGTCTCTTGTGGACCAGTGTCCTGAAGTTGGCTCTCCCACCTGAGAGGCAGAGCACTGACTCCTGGCTGCAGCACCAAGAGCCTTTCATCCACAAGGCTCAGAATAAAAGGGAGAAAAAGTAGAAAGAAAGAATTAGTAGAAGGAGAAAGAAAGAAAGAAAGAAAGAAAGAATGGAGGGAGGGAGGAAGGAAGGAAGGAGGGAGGGAAAGAAAAAAAGAAAGAAAGAAGATGCTGTAAAATAAAATAAAGTCAGATAAAATATAATAAAGTTATTAAGATAAAAAAATAATTATTAAGAAATAGAAAAAAATTAAAAGAAAAAACAAAACAAAACAAAAAAACGGACGGATAGAACCCTAGGACAAATGGTGGAAGCAAAGCTATACAGCATAAACATTGCTGTCAAAGTCCACCTCCTCAATTTGGGATGATTCGTTGTGTATTCATGTATTCCACAGACATCAAGTGGATTGTGGAGCTTTAATCTGCTGCTTCTGAGGCTGCTGGGAGAGATTTCCCTTTCTCTTCTTTGTTCTCACAGCTCCCAGGGGCTCAGCTTTTGATTTGACTTTGCCTCGTTGTGTAGGTCGCCGGAGGGCGTCTGTTCTTCGCTCAGACAGGACGGGGTTAAAGGAGCCGCTGATTCGGGGGCTCTGGCTCACTCAGGCCGGGGAGAGGGAGGGGCTCGGAGCGCGGGTGGAGCCTGCGGCGGCAGAGGCCGGCGTGACGTTGCACCAACCTGAGGCGCTCCGTGAGTTCTCCTGGGGAAGTTGTCCCTGGATCCTGCGACCCTGGCAGTGGCGGGCTGGACAGGCTCCCCGGAAGAGGTGTGTGGATAGTAACCTGTGCTCGCACACAGGCTTCTTGGTGGCGGCGGCAGCAGCAGCCTTAGCGTCTCATGCCCGTCTCTGGGGTCCGCGCTTTTAGCCGCGGCTCGCGCCCGTCCCTGGAGCTCCTTTAAGCAGCGCTCTTAATCCCCTCTCCTCGCGCACCAGGAAACAAAGAGGCAAGAAAAAGTCTCTTGCCTCTTTGGCAGGTCCAGACTTTTCCCCGGACTCCCTCCCGGCTAGCCGTGGCGCACTAACCCCCTGCAGGCTGTGTTCACGCCGCCAACCCTAGTCCTCTTCCGGCGCTCCGACCGAAGCCCGAGCCTCAACTCCCAGCCCCGCCCGCCGCGGCGGGTGAGCAGACAAGCCGCTTGGGCTGGTGAGTGCCGGTCGGCCCCGATCCTCTGTGCGGGAATCTCTCCGCTTTGCCCCCCCGCAGCGCTGTTGCTGAGCTCTGCCCCGCGGCTTCGAAGCTTTCCCCTTCCACCAACCGCAGTCTCCGCCCGCGAAGGGGCTTCTTAGTGTGTGGAAACTTTTCTCCTTCACAGCTCCTTCCCACTGGTGCAGGTCCCGTCCCTATTCTTTTGTCTCTGTTTATTCTTTTTTCTTTTGCCCTACCCAGGTACGTGGGGGGTTTCTTGCCTTTTGGGAGGTCTGAGGTCTTCTGCCAGCATTCAGTAGGTGTTCTGTAGTTGTTCCACGTGTAGATGTATTTCTGGTGTATCTGTGGGGAGGAAGGTGATCTCCGCATTTTACTCTTCCACCATCTTCCCGGAAGCCTTCACCGACTCTTTTTGACAGTGATTTTAAAAAGTTAAAAAATTTTTCTTTTTTTGCACATTCTCTTAGGAATATTTTTAAATGAATATTCTGACCATCTTGGAGACTAAAGACACATCCAAAGTAATTAAATGATATACTCTTGAATTTCTCTGTGATATAACATTTATTTATAATCTCAGTAGATTATTTTTCTATTTTTCTACGCTTATTTTTCTATGTTGTATTAGGGTAAAAAAAAAAAAAAAGGGTTTATTCTGTCATAGAAATGTCCCTGAAGACCAAGTGGAGAGCAAAATTGTGCTTTGGGTATTATTATCCAGGCTGGTTAATAACGTGTTTGTGAATACAAATGGACCTGCCACAACATAGTTTGAAAGTAACCCTCAAATCATCAGAGAATAACAAAGGTGGTATAGAAATGATCTGTTTCTGGAATAGAAATACCAATTATAATTAAAATGACCAAGTGTTTAATAGAAACAGTTTTTTAAAAAAGGAAATGGTCATAATTCATTGATTGTTGAATATTTTCTTGCTGAAGTGATTTGTAAATTGTTTATCCTTTTCTTTCCTTTTCTGGAAGAGGGATGGAGGTTGTGGGCTTGGAGAGAGCAACAAGGTTAACATGAAGCAAACCTAGAATTTCAGATTTTATTCCCCTGTCCTATAAAGTAGTCTATTCAATTAGAAAACTTTCAATGTATATTTAGCTGATTTTAGTGAGTATAAGTTAGTAATTTTTTAACTTCAAATGCATACTTAACAAGATTTCTTTGTTTTGTTTCCTTTTTAGGTGCAAACCCAAATTATCCTGATGTAATTTATGAAGGTAGCTATCCTGTGGTCTGTATTTTGTATTTTTTTCAAAATGTTTGTCTAAAATGAAATAAAACAATTAAAAGAAGAACTAACTTTAAGCTCAGTTAAATATATACTTCAGGCATGACATAGGCCAAAATAATATTTCAAAAATCATTCAGTATTGATGGCTGTTTTCCCTTGATATTTACAATGCCTGTAAATAACATTTTCTCTCTCCTGCTTGTTCTTGGAAATAGTAAATGCATTGCGCTGCAACAGACATTTTGTTTCCATAATTGGGAACTAATTACCTGTTTAAAAGCCATGACTACCAAGAAAAGGGAGGTGTATCAGTTTCTGGCCGTGACAGTAAACCCAATTCAAAATTATGTTTCTTACAAAATGAGGAAGACTGGCTCACACACAGGAGCCTCAGAGGCAGGGCATGTTTTTTTTTTTTTTAATTAAATTTATTTATTTATCTATTTATTTATGGCTGTGTTGGGTCTTCGTTTCTGTGCGAGGGCTTTCTCTAGTTGCGGCGAGCGGGGGCCACTCTTCATCGCCGTGCGCGGGCCTCTCACTATCGCGGCCTCTCTTGCTGCGGAGCACAGGCTCCAGACGCGCAGGCTCAGTAGCTGCGGCTCACGGGCCTAGTTGATCCGCGGCGTGTGGGATCTTCCCAGACCAGGGCTCGAACCTGTGTCCCTAACATTAGCAGACGGATTCTCAACCACTGCACCACCAGGGAAGCCCAAGGGCACGTTTTAAGGTTGGTGAGACCATCAGCTCAACCATGTCATCAGGGATCCAAGTTTTTTTTTTTTATCTCTGCACTCTCCTGCCCATTGTACTGGCTTCACTGAAGGCTGGTTTCTCTTACGGTTTTAAGATGAGTCATTCACATTGATGAGAGAAAGGGAAGAGCTTTTGAAAGTGTTCCAGAAGAAAGAGAACTTTCCCAGAGACCTCCACCAAGCCCTGTATCTGATTCAAGACTCAGTTGGGTCATGGTCCATTTTTGCCTCCAGTACTGAGAAGAGGGTTGGATTACCCTTGACTAACTAGACCCACACCTGGAGTTTCGATCAGCTTCCCCAGAGGATGTGCTTGATCCCCTTGAATAAAATGGGGTTCTCTTAGGAATGTAGAAAGGGAGAAACCAAAAGATTCACTATATTAGCTTACCAAATATATTTACTTTGCTATTTTAATTGAATCCCAGGGCTGTTTTACTAGGCATGAAAATCCATCTTTAACAGTTTTCAAACCACCTTCATGACCAAGAGGCTTCCGTTTGGGGAAGTGGCAGGCTAAATTTCAAGACTTGGCTTGAAATTTAAGATTGATTAAAACTTACATTGATTAAAAAGATACATTTATATATTTATTCTATAAAATCTATTCTTTAATTTTATATACACAGCTTGACAAATGTGTATATTTATATTTTTAATATAAATATAGCTTATAACTTTAATATAAAATTCTCTGTATGTTTATTGTACATGTGTATATTTAACTTGAGCTAATTTTAACTAGGGAATTACATTGTCTTTACCTGCTTTATGCATGTTAAGCCATCTTTCCTCCAAGCTGTGGTTTGGATATTTTTGTGCATGTGATTTGTGTATTTTTATTTTTATTTGTTCTGATATGGCTTAAAGAAAGAGTATGTCAAATTGTGTCACAGAGAAATATGTTTGAATTGTGATTTTCAGTTTTAAAATTATGTTTTGGACTCCTTTCCAATAACTTTTAAGACTCTAAAAATGTCATCTTTCCATTGGTCTCAGGTTACACTTTGGATCTTTGGGCTACAATGTCATGATATTAAACTATAGACACTTTAGTGGTTTAATTTTGCATGAGTAGCTGGATATAATATGAAAAGGGAAAATAGGCAAATAAATGATATCTCCTACTGTTTGATTGAAATATTAATAAGTTCTCATATATTCAAAACGAAAATGGTGAGAATGTAGTTTTTCAGTTAAGAATAAAACAGCTACAGATAGAAAATATATGCTTTTTCTGTTAATTTTCATTCACATTCAAAGGAACACTCTGCTGGTAAAATTATAATTTAAATTGGTTGCCCTGAGGCCAGCTTGATAATTCTACCAAGGGAAGATTAGCTAGGGCTGACTTAATGAGTTTGTTTTTTCAGGGTGGAAATTGAAGGCACCATACCTATTTAGAATAAAAATACAAAAATTTATAAACAACGTGGTCTGCAATAAGTTTACCAAAAACTTCTTATGACTTCTATATGTAATATTGTTAATAAAAACTTTGCCTACAAAAGAAGTATTTACTTATATCCTGATCCCTGTAGACTAAAATTGATTCAGAAGAGCAACTACATTTGAGAACTGAGAACATACCCTCACAAT